GGGGGGGCTCCCACGCCTTCCACGCCCACAAGAAGTAGGCGGAGGCCTGGGGGGGGCTCCCACGCCCTCCACGCCCACAAGAAGTAGGCGGAGGCGGGGGGGGGGGGCTCCCACGCCTTCCACGCCCACAAGAAGTAGGCGGAGGCCTGGGGGGGACTCCCACGCCTTCCACGCCCACAAGAAGTAGGCGGAGGCCTGTGGGGGGGACTCCCACGCTTGCCCACCCCCTCACCTGGGTCGGGCGAGGAGGAGCTGGGGCTGGGGACCACGAGGACCAGGGGGAGACAAGGGTCAGGAGCCTCTCTTGAGACCCTCTCCAGAGCTCTGAGGCCAGCCACGGGGTTCCTGCAGGGTTCCTGGGGATGGGGGAGCCTACTCAGGTGAGATCAGTGAGGAGTTAGGAGCGTGGGCTCCAGGAGGTACCTGGGCACGGGGGCCGCAAGTCGGGGAGTGGCCGGGGCGCAAGGGGCCGGCCTGGACTCCTGTGGCCGTGTCTGCCAGGTACGGCGTGTGCCTCATTGGGCTGAAGCGAGAGGAAAACAAGAGCATCCTGCTGAACCCTGGGCCCAGGCACACCCTGGCCACCTCCGACACCTGCTTCTACATCAACATCACCAAGGAAGAGAACTCCGCCTTCATCTTCAAGCAGGAGGAGAAGCAGAAGAGGCGGGGTCTGGCGGGGCAGGCGCCCTATGAGGGACCGTCCCGCCTGCCCGTGCACAGCATTATCGCCTCCATGGGTGAGCCCTGGGCGGGCGGCTCCCGAGGGTGGTGGCCCGTCCTCAGTGCCACGGAGTGCCCAGGACTCCTGGGGTCTACTCAGCATCGCCACCCCTCTGCTCCTCGTCCTGGTGGGGAGCCCGGCCTCTGAGGCTCAGAGCTGCTGGCCCTGGACGCTGGGCATGGGAGGGTGGTCAGCCAGGCTCAACTGCTCTCTCCAGGGACGGTGGCTATGGACCTGCAGAACGCAGAGTGCCGGCCCTCACAGGGCGGCGGCGGCGGCAGCAAGCTCGCGCTGCCCACGGAGAACGGCTCAGGCAGCAGGCGCCCCAGCATCGCTCCGGTCCTGGAGCTGGCAGACAGCTCGGCCTTGCTGCCCTGCGACCTGCTGAGCGACCAGTCGGAGGACGAGGTGACACCCTCGGAGGACGAGGGGCTCTCCGTGGTGGAGTAAGTGCTGGTGACCGGGGGGCTCTTGGTGGGGTGTCTGAGGGCCCCTGACACACGGATGCCAGAGCTGGCGCCTCCCGCCCCCTCGCACGGGCCAGGCATCTCCCCCACAACACACGCGGATGGAGCCGGGCGCGCCCCAGCCCCCTGAGCCACCGAGCAGCGTGCTGGTCAGGCCTGGCCTTGGGGTCGGCACCGCAGGGCTCTGACGGCAGCTGAAGCAGCCGCACGGGCGTGGAGGCTGGGCCTTGTCTGCCTCAGCCCATGAGCGCCTGGCCAGCCGGTCGCAGCCCCCCTCCACTTCCCCATCACGGTGGAGCTGAGAAGAGACCCACAGCCATCCCGGGTCCACCTCGCAGCCGGTCAGCCCCTCTGCTTTCCACCACGTGTGGCCCACCAGGCTGGGGTGGGCACCCGGGGGCCCTCTGAGATAGGCCTGTCACCCCGTCAGCCAGGCCTGTGGGCCGTCCTAGTCTAGATCTGGGGCCAAGTCTTCTTACCAGGGCTGGGGCTCCAGGACACCTGGGCAGAGCACAGCCTGGCCCCAAAGCAGGGTCCCCGAAGGGGCCTGGAGGCAGAGCTAGGGCTGTGGCCTGTGCCGAGCGCTGTCTTCCCCAGGGGAAGCACAGGGAAGGCCGGGGCCAGGGCACCCGCCCTCCCCAAGGCCAGGACTTGAATGGTGTCCACACCCGTGTACTTGCACACATGTGTGCGTGTGTGTGCTCACGCTGTTAATGTACCGTGAGGTGTCTTCCTAGGGGAGGTGTGGGCCCACGGCACAGGCCACGTTCCTGTGGCCAAAGGCTGACCAGGTGGTCCTGGGGCTTCCCAGCGAGGGGGCTCCTCTGTCCGCCTTCAGCATGCCTTGGCTGGGAAGCCGCAGCGAAAGACCCCTGGCCCTGGCCTTGGTGGGGGCCAAGTCCACTGCTACCCAGCACCGGCTGTGCGGTCCCCTGCCCGGCCATGCTGAGAACCCCCTCTCCATCCAGGTACGTGAAGGGATACCCCCCAAACTCGCCCTACATCGGCAGCTCCCCCACTCTGTGCCACCTCCTGCCTGTCAAGGCTCCGTTTTGCTGCCTGCGGCTAGACAAGGTAAGTCCCTGTCACCCGCCACGCTCCGAGGCTCAGACACCAGCCCTGGGGCCCGCCGCCACCGCCACCTCCACCACCACCACCACCTCCACCATCTCTACCATAACCACCACCTCCACCACCTCC